AGTAACCTCACTTCTTATTTAAACCAGAATGTTATCTGATTGATTTTCGATAAATAATTCTTACTGATATCATAATTTTAAAATAAAATTTAAAATAAAATTTTAAGGCATTATAATGTCATATCAGCAATTAAAATTTTTTCACTTTAAAAATGAATTAGCAAAGAGAACAAAATTATTTAAAAACAGAAGTGAAAAAGTTCATTTGAGTCATTTGAGTCACTTGAAACCAAAAAACAATGTAATTTTTTCATTGTTTTGTGGTTTTTGGTGAATAATTGGTGGGGCACAAATCGATTGCCTAACGAAATTTGAAAAAATATACAAGTCTCTTATAAGTCTCTTATATATTTCAAAAAAAAACAATAATAACAAATAAATATTGCAAATTTATTTTTAAAAAAACAACAATGCATTTACAGTGCATAATTTGCTGACCTCAGCTGTATGCATTTAAAGTAAAATTGTTTCTTCATACTTCATACATTTTTACTATTCACGTTAACAACTCATATGTTTACTTAAAAGTTCAGAACAACATATCTAAAAGTGCATTTCGTTTCTTTAGGTTGTTTATGTTCTGTATGTATAGCAGATGAACTGGCAAACTACATCTTAATGGTTACTCTATAGCCATTCATTTATCAGTCAATATATATAAATCTACGGTATAATCTTTTCTCAAAAATCATTAACAAGAGAAGGAAATAAAATTACTTGTGCCTTGATTAAACAAATCTTGCCATCTATTAAGTTACACAGCACTGAAAAACCAATTAGCTTAAATGGAATCAAAAAAAATTTAATGTTATCCACCTTGTAACCGGTTCTAGCTTAATACTAAAGAGAAATACGCACAGAGACTACTAATACTAAGCCCCAACTTTGGCGGCTTATGCTAAGAATAGGAGGATTGATTATGAAACCCTCAATAATTATGGAACTATTGCAGTCTAAGCAATTAGCCAGATTACATTTATCGAAAACTTTTTCTTAAGTACTACAAAATAGAAAATGATGAAAGAGTTGTGGCTGGTGACCATTACATACTTTAGAAAAAAGCATTTATTTCCTTTCAAGTGTTTTCTTTTTTTTGTATTTGTTTTTTCATAGTTCAACTTACTAAATGAGTAATTTATTTGGCTGATGAAAGTCGTTTTGCTTTATCTCTAATTTGTAATCTCTAAATTATTCATTCTACTAATACAATGCCTAATTCCTATTATATTAATTTACTTAACATGTTTTTAAAAAATTAATTCAAACAATTTATTCTCGTATTTTGGCTTTAAAAAATCTACCAACAATACTTTGGTTCATACCCAAAGTTTTCTTAACCATTTCATTTCGACAAAAGCTAGATGTAAATATTATACTCATCCCTTAACAGTCGTAGGACATGAATCAAAATGAAGTGAGAATAGGTATTTATCAAATCTTCGGTACTGTTCTCATATATGTTATTATCTACCTACTACCATTTTCATCCAGCTTTTTCAATATATTTTCGTTGTCTTTTATGTAAGGGTTCACATATCACATTTAGTCCAGCAATTCCATATACTTATCTATTTTAAAAGTATAAATTCAAAATGGTTTATTTCCGCTGTGATTAGCTAATTAACTTTATCAGAAGTTCTTTCAGAACTTTTAGAAGATCAATCCATAGCATATTTAAGATGCATTGAACAATAAACAATGAAAGAGCACCCTTACAACTGCGATTAAAGTCACTGATCATAATATATAAACTTCTAGCATAAGTTAATCATCAACAGTAACCCATTACCAACACCGCAATAAGACTGATATCTCTTGATGACACTTAAATAACATCGATAGACATTTTCCTATATAAAACGCCTAACTTCCGTACTGTTTATTCTTCTCATCTTGTATTTAACTATTCTATTGACTTCAATTGATATTAATATCCTTTAAATAAATATGAATACGCTTTAAGAAGGAATACCTATTAAGTTTGACTAATGGGTGCTGTTTATACCAAATGACTTTTTGAGGCGTTTCAACCAGCAAGATCTATAACTCAAATCTATATGCTCCCCTTAGATAAGTAAACTTACTTGGTTTTTAATATTAATTAAAAAACCTTTTGTTAGTCAATATGACTAATTGTTGTTAATTTAAACTCATATACCTCTAAAAGGAGTTCTAAAAAAGAGTTTCAACAAAAATAAAAAACAAGCATGTCTAATCAAAAAGTCGTGATTCTAATAATAAAATAAAGCCGTGAGCTTTGAAATTACATATTGTAACTACTCTTATGAAACTCTTGTGTCTAACAGAAAATCGTTGAAAGGAGTATCTTGTTTCAATAAAGGTAACAGTTTCTAGTATTAATATTATGTGTTATATTTAAAAAATTCGATCACGTATTTCTTTAATTTTGTAAAGAGAGTTCTACATCTATTCCGTGTTTCACTATTTTATGACTTTATTGTGCCGAAGATCAATAAATAGCTTTGAATACTCAATCGAATTCCATTTGAGATTGAAGTTGAAGACATTCATTTTTATATCATGAATACTCTAAGAATTTAAATGACACGAATATTCTATTGAAAAGTAAATTAAAAATTTAAATTTTAGATCAACTCAACACCAATGAATGAAATGGATTGATTGGATCGCATAGTGCCCTTACAAAATAACTATTTTGAAATATATCGTAATATAAATAATCAGATGCTTTGTGTTAAGCAAAATTAGTTAGTTCTTGTTTTGATCGGTCTTCAGTATTTTGGGAGTCAACCGCATTGCAAAACATTTGAAAAGAACGCATTCTTAATTAAGAACTACTTTCAAGCATAAATTTAATTTTCAATGAATAAAGTTATTAGTCCCTTATTGATATATTCAGCAGATCATATACGTAAGCCAACTTGGATTGCATCTATTTGAAGTTCGTGTTTTAATAGTAATAAGAATAATTTGAATTATAATTATAATTTTACAATTTCGTATGTTGTTGTTATTGACAAAGAAAGACAAACATTAGAGACAATGAAATAGTGAAAACTAAATACTCGGCCATATCTTAAGGTATCAAGAAAAATACGATTATTTTTCAATGATCCAATGATCACGTTGATCATTGGAGACAAAATTAAAGAATGACAACCAATATCTACGTCGACAATATAAAAATTGTAATCGTTTTACCAAACGTTTAAAGAAGATAAGGTACCTAGAAGAATAAAAAGTTATTTGGAGATTAGATCAACTCATCAACTTTGTGATTACGCGGCACACACACAATCACTAGAAAACATATATCTACTCTGGGATTCACCTTCGTTAACTATCTACCTAATATCATATACAATAAAAATATTGTTCATCTTATTAATTTACTTAATAACACTCTCATAAAGGCATTTTCAAGTAAAGTTTCTTAAAGCAACTTATTATTAAACATTATCATAACGGATCCATTTCTTGAATCGTAAGCAAGTCACATTTTATGCGAGACGGACACCTACTAGTATCCACTATTTCCACAAAAATTGTTTTAATTACAAGTGTAAAATTTTATGTTCTGTGACTTTTTACAACTTCTAATTTAATACATATCTTAAGTGCTACATAATAATATTAATTTAAAAATATTAATAAAAGCATTATATATTGTTAATGATATAAAAAATTAAAGATTGTTTAAAGAAAAGTAATTTTCCACTTCATAAATTACGAAAACAATTTTTTCATTTATTTTCTATATAGTAAATTTCATTTTAGTTTATTCACTCAAAGGTTAAGTAAAAATTTCAATAACAATTCCATTTATTTATATACATTTATATTTATATTATGTACTTTTATTGTTCTGGTTCTGAATCATTCATTCACCTTTCAAAACCAAAAACAAAAATCACTGGCAATTCACTTTTCTCGCTTTTTATTATCAATTCAAAAATATTTGCTGTTAATTAAAGAATCACAAGATGCAAAGATTTAATTTTTTTGTTGTTTTTTTTTTGTATCTTAATTAAAAGTTAGTACAAATTTATCTGATTATCTCAGTCTTAAATAATTCACTCACTGGAATGGCAAAGAATAAGTTCTGCAATATCCCTGCAGTAGCTTAGCCAATTTATCTGTTCAATTTCGTCAACAATTTTTAAGCACATTCATCATTTTTGATTAAGTCGAGAAAGAAAACTACGATCTACGACCAACTATCAACTTATACACTTCAAATGCAACTGTTATCAGCGTTAACACCGAAGCGACATACGATAAGGTTTTTGAAATATCACAACGCAGCATAGAAAGCACAAAGCACTCAAAGAATTCGTCAGAGACGACCGCAAATTGAAGAAGAAGAAGATATAAACCTGCTCAGTACTCACTAAATTGCTTCTACTGCAGTGCAACTCTTTTTTTATTGGTTTGCGCTTTTAAAGAACGAAATCTAAATAACGAAAGAACTAGGCACATTAGCACCCCGCGTATCGGAGAGCTTCTGACTGTTCTTCATTAGCAGCGAAATACGCGAACCGTTGCTTTCGATCACTCAACCGCAACTCATAAGAATTATTAAATAAGAAATAAGCTTAAGCGATGTCGCAAGCAGAATTCAAAATGAACAATAATAGGCGGTATTGTTAACAACAACATGTGCGCTACACAATTGAGTTAAATGCGGATAGAAGAAAATTAATTTTTCACATACTCGTACATAAGAAAAAAGATATACTCAGAAGATGCTTTTCACATGTATACCTGTACTTAAGACATGCAATTGAAATTTATTTTGTCAAATAATGATTGTAATAAAGTACTATAGTTTGTATTAAGCGAGATGAATATGTAGTTTCCGTTATAAATCACAAAGTTATCATTATTGTGGTTCAGAAAAGTTGTCAGCACCATTTTGATTTTCTGAGAAAGTAGTGCTTAAAACCTTTGAGGTTCGCTGTAAAATGGAAACAAAAGTTAAGTGCACAAAACAAACGTTTGTGTTATTTTATACGTACCGCTGAGAACTCCAACAGTTCTAAGCTTTCAGTTCCACAAGCTCTCAATTGAAAAGTGAAACACCTCTGTCGACGTCATGCAATTAGCTTTCGACGACGGCGTTCGGCGAAGTTCAGCGACGTCAACAGCGACGTCAGCAGCGGCAGTTGAGCACACAATTCACTTATTTATTTATGTATGTAGTCGTATTTCATTTCTTTATTATAAAAAAATTTAAGCACAGCAACAAAGCCAACAAGCCAACAACAAGCAACCGCAACAGCACGAATTATATACGTTTTTATGTTAATTATTGTTGCAATAATGAAGTTACGAAAACACAAAAATATGTAAAATATATTTTATTTAAACGACAAACAATACTCGAATAGTTTGTGCAATTGCACTTCGCACAGATGCAATAATAATCTTTCTTATTCGATTTGATTGAATACTTTTTTTCTTAATTTATTTACTTTCAAGCATTATTTCACTAATTCCACATTTAAAACAAATTCGTCGCGCAAAAAAAAAATGGTCATATTTCGCTTCACTTTCGAATCTCATTAGGAATTGTGAAGGCTTTGAAATAAATTCATAACTGAAACTTTATAATTTTCAAGCAAATTCATGAGCAAACGCTTTCTTATCAATTTTTTACTTTTGAATAGTTGCGCCGATAAGATAATTTTGCAAATGTTTAAAGTGTAGCTTCGTACTAGAATTGTTAATTGTAGGCAATCTTAAGCACTCATGATTCGTAAGAACTTTATTTATTCTTTAATGGCACGATTAAAAATTCCGGGGTACTGCCTTTTTACAACATTATATGTGCTTTTAATGTAACGATTGCATATATAAGTTGTCAATAGATGGCGTGTGTAAAGGAAATATTTGCAATTTTAAACGCTACTATCTTAAGAACCAAGCTATATCTGCATATAACGTAACGTAACGTAAAGACTCCCTTTCTTATTCATAGCACTTGCGAAACTGTAATATCTGAATTGTAGTCTAAAGTGTTCTTCACGCAGTTTAAAAGGTATCTTGTCGCATTCTTGAAGGTGCCACTTGACACATTAATTTTATAAATACAGTCGAACATTTATTTGAACATGCAAATCTTCAAATACGAAACAACTTTTGATTTTAGGAATAGTCCAAATTTCTACTGAATCATGTTATTGACATTGAACTTTGCTTATGTGTTGGATTCATTTGAAGTTGTTTTTGATGAGTTATCAGCACACAGTTGACAATAAGTCGGAAATCACAAAGACTTTCGTTTTCGAAGCTTCGATAGTTTGTGGAATGTGTGCATAAATACGCACCTTTGCGTTATCCCACAAAAAACTTGCACCAATATGATTTGCCACCGATCACATAATATTGGTGGGCAATTTATATTAGCAAACCCAAACAAATTTCATGTCTAGAAAATTTTTGGCACAAATAAGAAAAAATTCTTCTCTGACTTCTAGCACCATTCTGCCAAAAAAAAGCAATTAGGAGTCACAGCTTTGTCAATTTCAGAAAAGTACGAAGCTATCGCATCTTCATACAGAACCACACAATGCACAGTAGCACGCAATGTCTTTTTGTAGATACAAAAGTATTTTGGCAGATACTTGTTGATTTTTACTGATCCAGATACAATAATTTTGTTGGTTTATACATCCACCAAGCAAAAAATGAATTCCATCACTAAACAAAATTCGATGCCGAAAATAGTCACAATTTTTATAGTTAGTTTTCACAACATGAACTCATTCAGCGATTGTTAAGTGATTCATATTGTACAATGTCACATCTGGACAACGTAATGGTTAACCCATATAAAGAAAAATGGATAGATGAAATCCGGATAAAAAGTATGCGTGTTTTAGAGACATGCAACTAAACACAGGAACACAGCTAGTACATTACATAAACAATTCTAGTATTTCAGTTTTTTCCCTATAAATAATATATACTGCTATTCATTAGTTTATTATAAATCAGTTACTTGAAAGATAGTTTAAATATATACAAATAGTATATAAAAATGTTTATTATTCATTAAAGTTTCTATTTGGTATAATAACAAAATACAACGATTAAAAAACTTTCTAATTTTTCTGTTTACAAATCTTAGAATTCTTGCTTAATGTCTCCTTCATGTAAAATTTATTTTTTGATTAATTCATTAAAAATCCTATTATTACATTTTTTTTAGTGAATATCTCGCAAAAAAAGGTTATTCCCATCTATTTCAAAGCAGGGGATTTTCCGCTGAAGCAGGGGATTTTGGATAATCATAAATTTGTTAGCAGCATAATGATTATAAATGTTTTATAATTAACGTTCTTAATATTTAAAAAATAAATTTTTATTTTCATAAACAATAATTCAATAAATTGCAATTACGGAGTTTTACTATACACCTACTCATAAATCTTTGGAACACACTCAAAACCTATCAAATCACAAAAAATGCCGTAGTTAGCCTCGTACCGCCTCTAAAACTTACAATTTCACCCATTTTCGTAAAACAAAACTGAAAAAACTGATTCTTTACGTTATTGTTTAAAGTTTTATTTAAAAATTTGTGTTTATCGAAGACAAGTAAATAAGTTTCAATCAAAAAACAAAATAATCGATTTTAATTGAAATTCGTATAAACAATTCAGTAGTGAAACGTGGCCACTTTCGTAATAGAGAGTACATAAACTATGAACAAATTGGGATATAAATACATGTATATATGTATTTTGTATTATTATTTAGCACTACACATGCTGTTTCGATATAGTATAGCTATTTGAATATTTGAATTAAAATCAATTTAAATCTAACAAAATTTGATAAGCCTAAGGCGTTTTGTTTTTGTCATTATCCTCGCCGTTCACATAAATCGTTTCCTTATACGTAACTCTTGAACAATCTTTAGGCGGTTCATTGATGCTATAAACCGGAAGCTCTCTCTCAGGTGGGTTGTTATACTGTGCGTGACTATTTTCTCCAGTGAAACTCGGAGTTATGCTTTCATTACAAAATACATCTTCTGAAACCGAACCTTCTTTGAAGCATTTGTTGTAGGGTTTATAAAGCCAAACAAAGAAACCTGGAACATAAGTATGTATATAAACTTGTAAAAACAAAAAAATTACTTATAATCACATATAAAAGCAACACAGATTAAACTTAATGTGATTATAGTTGCAATATAAGCCGATTCCTGTTCTATAAGATTTACGGGTTTCAACATATGTGCTGCATTTGCTGTAAGACCAATTTCCTCAAACGTTTCAATGTTCACCAGTTGGGTTATATTTTTATCTGCTAATATTTTACTAAAGAAAATGATTTTTGTTAAATTTGTATTAATATTTTATTATTGTCAAATAACGTGATTTCATAACGTTCAATCTTAATTCAGATTTTACGAATAACCGTACTTACTTTTGAAACACTTCACACTCTATAGGATTAGGACCATTAAATGCATAAACCCATGCTTTTTGTATTACGGTTCCCTCTTCAGTAGCATTTCCAAGTCTAGAGCTGAACATTCTATTTGATGTGGTTCCATTGCTAGGTATAGTTGCAAATTTTATGAGATTCACTTTGTATCCACTCTTTTCTTCCAGCGATAAGAGAACATCTTCCATTACTTGTGGTTTATTGCTTTCAAAACTCACTAAACTAACGAAATTTGATGATAACCTCTTTACAAAAAGGACAGCACCAGTACTAAGTCCAGAACCTGACCGATCTACAGCTTGAACTATGAGTTCAACGCTTTCTACACTTTTTAAAGCATTTGATCTGGGATATATAATGCCAGTATCCGCTTCGATGTCAAAGTGTGAATTTGGACGCATATTGTATTGAATTCGTGCATTATCACCAGAATCGAGGTCTACTGCACGAATTTTTGTTAGATATTGTGGAAAGAGTTCAAAGGAAATCTCAACTGCTGGATAACCTAAGTGCATTGGTACATTTGGGTAAATAAACTCTGGTGCATTATCGTTAATATCAACAATTTCAAGTACAAGCCATGTAGTGTCTGGTGCATAAGATATATCACTCATGTAGATCATTGAAAATTCCTCAAACTCTACACCGACATCGCGTCGCTTTCTAGTTCTTTCTATCTCACTCGTATTATTGCTGCAGATCAACTTGAGGCGTACTTGCACTTGAGCTTTTGTCATGTTTGCAAATATACTATCCTCACGGTCAATTGAAATAGTTGAAATCATGCCAGTTGTAATGTTAATGTATACATAAGCTAAAGAAAATAAAAAGTTAGTTTGGAAAAATGGATAAGTAGACAAATCTTCATTGCAAATTTAATACAGTGCCTATACTTTATAATTGAGTACATTCATTTCATACCTTTATCTGCAGGATACATGTGCTCTATTTGGTACGTGCAATTTCCAACTGTTGCGTTCAATACATCGAAGACCGGCTTCTCTTCCTCGATATGCTTGATGATTAATGTGTCCCGCACTGCATTTTTTATGTCGAAGCATTGCTTCTCTGACTCTGTCGCTGTAACAGTTATGTGTGCCGTTGCGTTTGCTTCCCTGAAACTCTGTGTGTTTACCGCTTTGATAGTGAAATTAAAAGTACCTGAAGGCAAGGTACTAAGCAGCATAATGTCACCTGAGTTACTATTAATACTTAAACGTTCCCGCAAATAAACTAAAACACAAGGTAAAGAAATTTTAAATTTCAAATTCATTTACTGTAATTAACTTAATTAATTAATACCATTCTCTGTGTTAAAAAAATAGTTGACTGTTATATTCGATTCAGGTATGACTGCGTTAATCTGACCAATATTTCCAATCTGTTCAGAGGAAACAGAGAACATGTATTTCTCACTGGAGAATATAGGTGCTAGATCAGAACCACTTGGCAATTCAGTACAGTCTATAAAGGAAATATATATGTTATTCTTAAAATAATTTTAACTATTTTATTTTTGTTAACCACTCACCTTTTTTAGGAAGTTCAATAAAAATTAAAACTTTGTCCATAATTTGTGAATTCATAGTCATAAAGGCTTTCAACTCAAGTTGTAATAATGATTTCGAGTCCAACAAGTCCTCAGGAAGTTGCTGCAGTTGGTTGAGGAATACAAAGTTTCTAGATGCGTTTATATTCACTTCGAAGTATGTAGCTTCAACTAAAAGTGAAATTCATTTCAACACCATATTGTGGTTTCATTACCAAACAACGTCTTACCTCCTTCCAAACTGTACCCTAACTCAGACACTCGAACATTTCCTTGCAATGCTATGGGCTCAACCTGTAGTATTTGTACTTCATCTTCGTCTAGTTCTAATTTGGTAGAAATCCACGTTTTTCTAAATAACTTCGTCGAAATGTTATTTGTTGAATTCTTAACTTGAAGATTTTCTATAATAATCGTTGTTGTGGCATTCATTTCATCATTCTTTGCAGTTAAAGTTAAAAGTATCATTGGAGTATTCAATAATTCATTGTTAACACTTAAAAGTCTTAAATCAACAGTGTGATTTGTTACATTGAAGTTAAACAATTCACTTTTGTTTCCACTTAAGGAAAACGTAGTTTTATTTGCTTCAAAACTGTGCAACACTAATTGAATTGGTTCCATTAGAAATTCGTTTAGTTCATTGATTCTACCCTCATAGTAGGGTTTCTCAAATTCAGGTTGCTTATTCAGATTTTTATTATTTTCTATAGGTAAGCTTATGAAGAGCGGAACTGAGGCCTTTAGGTTTTCGAATCTTGCTTGCATTTCTAGAGTAATGAACGAAATGTTAATAATTGCATCCATGTTTACTGTCTCACTTAGGGTCAGGTAAAAGTTTGGTCCCACTTGTGTGTAGTTAAACAAATCTTTAACAGTTGAATCACCTAACAGTTCAAACATTACTTCATCACTGTAGCCGTAATCATCGAACTCTATTATTTCCATTGTAAGTTCACCGGTACTACTTATATTTCCACGAAAAGAACTTTCTTCAAAATGAAAGGTTTCTAAAAGTGCAGTATGTAACATTAATGAAAAACCATATTAACAGTATGTATCTTTAAAAAACTTCTTACCCTTGAAGCTGACAGGACGTACATAAATAGCAGTTTCACCGAAGTCGGTTAAATTTAAGTGCGCAGCTTGAACACTGAAATGTAAGAAACTTCTTGGTTTGATTTCTTCCTTAGTAACATTTCTTGCTAGTTTAATTTGCACTACATTGGCATTGTTTTGCATTTCAAAAATATCTGCATCTCTGCCTTTCAACGAAAACCTCACATTTTCGGAATAAGTTTCAGGAAGTAATGATATTCTCAATAATTGTAAAGTTAAATTCTTATGGAGCAACACACTGTACAAACTTTGCTCAAATCGCGGTATTGGAGGTAAGCTATTGCTCCGATCGGCGCGGATTACCACAGTTGCATTAGAGCTGAGAGGGGGCGATCCACTGTCCTGTGATATTAAGAAAGTAAAAATTTCTATTAATAGTTTAAAAATAAATGAACTCACAGTTGCTGTAATATGAAAAATTAGTTCTCTTTCCAAACTAAGATATATTCGATTTAATGTCAGTGCTGCAAAAAAGATTTTCTTATCATCGCTAGTACCGTTCTTTGTGCCCACAGTTATGTGATATAAGGTAGCATTTGAAGAAGCAAAACTAATTTGATTATTTGCTAGATCATCGTCTTTCGCTGCGATTTGGACGAAACTTGTTAAGTCAAAACCCGCAAAAATAGGTGTAGGCAAAATTATGTCGTAAACATCCTGAGAAAATTTTGGTTTAAAATAATTACCCTCTTTAAACGGTTGAAAGAAAATCTAGCAATATAAAGGAGCAAATTTATGATTATGAATTTTCAATCATTTTTGTAATCGATACCGACCAAAGTGCGTACTCGTCCCATATCACATGCCATAGTTACTTTTAGCGTTATGCGCGCTGCTGTCTGCTCCTCAGCATATTTCGGGAAATCTTCCGTTGTAAAAATGATCAAGTTCTGAAACCCCCTCTCTTCATCTTCCTCTAGACGAGCATCAATGTACTTCTTTTCAAATTCGTTGTTTGTTGTGTTTTGTATTTCATTGATCGTAACATTTTCGTAACGTAAAATTGTTGTGTCTTGGAGTGTTAACTCAATTGGTTCGTTAAAAATTGAAGTTACAATGTCTGCATTTGTACAATCTGATAAGAAGAAAAGAAATTAGTTAGCAATGTTAAAAACAGCAACCACCGCCAATTGTTTGAGATAAGATATATTAGAATATGTGTTCATATTGTTTAGACGAGGGACGGACACGGGCACGGGAACGAAGAACTTGAAATGAGTTTTAATTTACTCAACATGCATATTTACGAGTTTTTAAATTTTCATCAGAAATTATAAGAAATATCTTTCAACAGTTTTGTGATTATAAAATTTCTATTCCAGTTTTATAAATATGACTAACTTGGCTTTAGCAAAAAGAGAAATGTTCATTACTTAAAAAATGTAGAAAACCAGCGAATATTATTCCTATATGTTACATCAAAAAAATGTCAAATGTACAAAGGTAAAGGTTTAAGTTCCAATTATTCAGAATGTATAGCGTTGTAACCCGTAGAAAAGATAAAATATAAAATATAAAATATGTGGCTTTATAAATGAAATCATACATACTTTATATTATAGAAATATATAATATTAAGTCTTTGAGATAAAAAAAATTCAATTTAGTTTAGTTGCTAAATGGAAGTTCCTTAGTAAGGAAACGAAATCATTAAAAGAAATTTCACATATTTAGGCAAAATTGTTCAAACAATTGTTCAATTGTTATTTAAATATTATATTAATATACTTCTTTGACTAAAAAATATTCAAATAAACTAGAAATGGTGTTACTTTAGTTGACTTTTACTATGAATATCAATACTAACAATATTCAATATGAATAACATCAGTTCTTTATTTCAATACTTATTTAAATTTTTTCTTTTTTAATTTTAAAAGATCCTTACCAACGATTTCTTGTGAAGAACCTAATACTCCACTCTCTATTACCCAGAGCATTAATAGTATGATAAAATCTTTGAACTGCATTCTTTTTAATTTGTTCTTTTATGAAACGTAGTCCTCTTCACTTAAATTTTTTTTCACTTTTTGCAAACACACTTTTAGGTATTGAAACCGATTCCGTCAATTTGAATTTTCAAACTGAAATTTTTTTGACAGACAATTTCTCTTTTACTCTGAGGTAGTTTGCATACTTCATTACTCATCTCTGTCTCAATTCTTATCAAAATCAATTAAATTTTGCCGATGTGCTGACTCTAGTGCAATTCGAACTGAAGAATTTTTATCTAAAACATGTTATTAGATAAATGAAAACAATATTAAAACAGCAATAATTTTATTCAAAGTAGACAAGAAAATATGAAGAAGTGACACAATATGGTTGAAGCTCGTAAGAAAATAATATAAACAAATGTGTAAATACATACCGAGAAAATGCGGTGAAAAATTAGAAGTCTGGACGCAGATCAAAAATCACAAGAGCGTGGCTTGAAATGCCAATATAAAAGAGACCCTCCTCGAAGTAATGCTAAATCGGTTCCGAGGGGGAATAAGTCTCGCCGAAATGGGGTGTTTATTAAGGGAGTCGAACACACCATTCCGACGACGGTCGGTTTGACGGTGCATAAAGCATTCCATCTCCCCAACACAAAAAAAATATGTCAATACACAATGGTAAACAAATCTTTTTATAATCCTTAACATTATATGAAATACAATCGGAATAAATAGAGTACCAAAAACCTTATGAAGAACTTAAATTTCGACCATTCACAGGGTTGCTTTTCAAACATTGAACATTTGGCCAATACTCTGAATAAGATCACGACTATAACGTCATTTAAAAAAGCATATGATTAAAGGATATCTGAAACTTCGCACATTATCACAAGGTTTAGAGCTGCTTGACTTGACTATTCGTATTCTTACAGGACTATTGAATATTATTTTATAATCAATAAAAACTTTTGCCAATTTTCATGAGCAAAATTTAAGCAATCAATATATATATACTTAGAGATTGAACAAGGAGATCTAAAAGTTTACTATGATAAAACCCAACCAGTGAATTAGCACATAACTTCAAGTTTTCATTCATGTCTTTGAAGAAATCGTACGTGAGTAGTAGCTATTGCACATTGTATTGTCGTGTTTCTTCTTATAAAATAGTTCTGAGGATACTTTTCAATAAATCGGAATGCTTATTTTCCACCATAAACTGAATCATGCTGATGATAAGAAGAATTCTGCAAATAACCCATTGACAGCTATCGGCACACTCTTCTAAATAGTGTTTAGTAATTTAATAAATAATGTTTATAATTAAATATATTTCAAGTAATTTTTTAATTTTTCTAAGTGCGGTAATAATTTATCACATTACCATTTCTATTAATGATTCCAAAGAGTTAGGCAGCAAAAAGTATAATTAAAAACTCCAACATGATTTCTTTTGTTGTGAAAAAAGAAGATTCAATATTTTTAATTACTTGTAGTTTGCAAAAACATAAATGTAAAGACAACAAGTTTATTAGCTCATATCTTATTATTAATAGTAAATAGTTATTAAATTAAATACGAGTACTACAATTCCATTGCTATTGACATTCACGATACGTTGCCCCCATTTGCAATCACCTACATCTGAGTACGCTTGACATCTTCAAATTGCTGATTTTCTTTTATTCAAATTGTGTATTTTTTAGGTTTAATAATACTGATTCAATTATGTTTAATCAGTGCACCCTGTCGTTTTTAAAAAAAGTTTCGACTAAAAGCAAAGTTTCGTGTGCACGTATAAAAATGACGAAATCTACATTCTTAAGAACAGTTGCACACTATCTTTGATGCCAGAAGAACCACTGCGAGATAATCATGGGAAAATGTTTTTATTTATTGTCGGTCATAATCCTTTCACAACTAGGGTCAGGATTACAACAGAGCATAACCATAGAGCAGTTTGAGAAATTTCAAAGCCAATATCTATCGAATATTCCGTCGAACGATGTAACTAACTGCAGTTTAAATGCTTGCGAAGCATTAAAAATGTTGTCGCATTTGCTGCTGACGATGAAATCTTCCATCCCATTAAGTACGACTGAAGGATCTGGAAAACGCTTAAATCGTAAGCAACAAGTAGTTGCAAATGATTCGGAGGAGGACACAGCTCAAATCGCTAGCATGTACCTTGATTTAAATAAACAAGTGCGTCAAATTGAATCTCGATTACGTTCAGTAGAGCAACCAGTATGGCGTTTAACGCCAGGCATTACCAATGAATGGAATCATTGCACATCAGGAGTGTGTCGTTGCCATCCTGAAACCAAGAGTTTTATTTGCTGGAATACTAATTTGAAATCGGTGCCAGTAACACAGGTGATACCCATGAATATGGTTAGAATGTAAGTCAGTGGAGTGCATAAAAGAAACTAAAATTATTACTAAATTTATATCCATCCAGAGATATATCCCGCAATTACTTGTCCACCTTACACAAGGATACTTTTCGAGGCTTAACTTTATTGCAACAGCTTGATCTATCCAACAATGTACTGGATTTTCTACCTTTTGATTTATTTCGTGATCTAGACAGTTTAGTGCAGTTGTAAGTTACGTTGACTTTTTTCAATATAATTACTGACCTAATTTCAATTTTCGCTGTACCAAATTAGGCGCATACAAAGCAATCAATTAGAAGATTTAGATCCACGAACGTTTTGGAAGCTGCGCAATTTAAATTTGTTGGATTTGAGCAAAAATATGATTACTGAATTACCCGAAAGCATCTTCAATCACGTACAACGTCTGACTGTAATCAATTTAAGCAGCAACAAAATTAAAATATTCCCGCCCGGCCTTTTACGTGATCAATTAGTGCTGGAAGAGTTGGACTTGTCGCGCAATGAAATCATTACCTTGCAATCGGGCAGCATGAAATACTTGACACAATTAAAAGTGCTAGACTTCTCTTGGAACGCAATTGGTAAATTTTTTCGTTATATTTTTAGTAAAAGTTTAGATTTTAGATAATTGAGTCGGTTCAGCTTTTGTATCAGATGACTTCTTCGAAGATCTTAAAAACTTACGCACTCTCATTCTGCATAATAACCGTATAACATCAATTTCTCGCTCCATTTTTGAAAACCTTGAACAACTCGGTACATTGGATTTGACTATGAATCGTATATCAAAGGTTCGTGTATTTGATCAAAGGTATTTGATCCTTTCGTCTTACTTAACAGTAGATTTATAGCATGTATATGTCATAATATATATGATATAATATGTATATGATATAATATAAAAAAGATTAAGTTAATTAATCGATAGAGATTGCTTATTAAATATTGAATATAAATAGAAAAGTGTACCTAAGAGTGATAATGCAAGAATTATCAGATGCTTAGTGAAGATGAGTAAAGTATATACGTAATTAGATATTCATTTATTAATTGACAATATACACGTACGCACAATTCAATATTTTCAGATTGATGGCAACGCGTTCTCCGAGCTGGGCAATCTACGAGAACTTTTTTTGGGCCAGAACTCATTGTCGCGCATGCCACATGGTCTTTTTTTAAATGCAAACTCTATGACAAGACTTGCTTTATTTTCAAATAATCTCACTACTTTAGAGGCTGATGATTTTCAAGGGCTTACCAATCTTAAATACTTAATGCTAAATAACAACATACTAAAGTATTTCGATGGACAAGCGTTTGCACCATTGCAGAATTTGGAAAAATTGTAGTTTTTAACCAAATAAAATTTTCAGTATTATTAAAAATATTTTATATTGATAAAAGTATCTTTTAAAATAGGCGCATCGACTCCAATAAACTCCAATACTTGCCGCATGGTGCGCTTTATGGTTTAGACAAGTTGATAGCTGTAAAATTGGATAAAAATCCATGGCACTGTGATTGTCGTGCGCTGTACTTGGCACGATATATACGTGAACATCAACACCGTTTATGGGATGGTCAGCCCGTGTGCCGTGGCCCAGGTGATTTGGGTGGCGGTGAAGTGGGTCTCTTACGTTATGACGATCTTTGTGATGGGCAGTGGGCTAGTATGCTGTCTCTCTCGCCAAGATTACCGGTGCGCAAACATCGCATATCCACGCCTATGAATTATACCGACTATTTTAATTTATACTTGAAGCACATTTATTTTACAACCACAAATGAAAATTTGCTAGACGCACAAACCACGCTCAGGACATCAAGAAGGTTTGAAACAGCTGCTTCCATAACAATATAGAATATATACTTCTGGAAACTGAATTTGTTTGTAAAAATATTTATTAACATTTACATAGGCATATACATTTTAATAAAGTGCACAACTCAATTTTTATACGTAATCACATAAAATGGAATACATACATTAAAAAGTAAATAACATAAAGTGGAAGTAAATTGTTAACTAAAAATTAATTTTGCGCTTTTTCTGCTTTTCCATTTCCTTACAAATAGATTAAATATAAAATATATAATTATTTTTTTTTATAAATTATTAAATTAAACACACAATATAAAGTATATATAAAATTGAGATAAAATAAAATAAAAAGAAACAATTCAATCTTTAAAATGAATCGCGTCATAAATGAACGAGTGTGTGTGCGCTACCTAAAAATACATTTCTCGCCTTCTTATATTAAATGCTATATCTAGTGAATAATTCATACTTTAGTCTACTTCTAATTTTCTGAAGCTGCCCACTACTCCAGAATCTATATCACCAATATCATTACCGGCAAAGTTTGATGCTTCCTTGGTAACTTCTATATACATATCGTCCAGTGCTAGAATGGCGTTACGTCTTTGCAATAGTTTAGCCTTAAAATCTTTAATCATGTCTGCCATAGGTACTGTACCTCCATATTCTTTTGGCAAAATACCAGGATTGATTTTAGTTTTCAGTGCATCAATAGATTTGTGCACCTGTGTAACATATAAATTTAATTTACTCTTTATATATATAATATAATAAATTACTCACAATAATTCGTTTTTTTAATTTATCGCTAAGCATTGAAACCCCTAATTCAATAATTCGATTAGCGTAGTGTGGTATGTTAAGGAAATGTGTCTCCTTATGACGCATTGGTGTGGAATTCTACAACATATATTGCACACATGTCATCAAAATCGAAATATTTATAATATTTTTAATTTATTTACCTGTATACATTTCACAATACTGCGTAAGTCAGTTATGGACCATAAGCTCACAAAACCCATATTCATGCCACTTTCATCATTAACATAAACATAGCCGGCGACTTGTGAGTCTTCATCATCCAACAAAGCTTCGCAAATCAAAGAATGAACACGTGTCATTTGAGCTGATGTATACTTGTATGGATCGAATTTACCGGCAACAGAAAAAATAATTTGCCGACCTAACTCATCACGTTCGGGCAATGGCACCAAATAACCGTTCTCAAAGATTTCATTGATTGCAGGATCTTCAATATCCAGCTTAGAGAACCATTGAGGAAAAAGTTGACGTATAGTGAGGTAACGCTCCAACATTTCGCAAGCAGCTGGCACAGAAAATTTTTTGGTGCGTAGGAAGCGCAACAAAAAGACGGCATCGGTGCGGCATTTCTTAATGTGAGGGTGCTTTGAAATCCATTCACGAAATTGAGCTAAAGCCTGTAAGTAGAATATGTGGTCATGTATAAAATGGCAGACATTCATTTAAACTTATTTCCTGACATACCTGCTTACGTATATTGTCATCTTCATGTAATTCTTCTTTGGCTACTATTTTCATTTGAGAACTCAGAGAGCAAACGTAGGGATCAAAATCGTCCACATTAATGCTGAGCGTATTCAAGTTGCGCTGTTGCATGACTTCAGTTTCTAACACTGAAAAAGATTTAATTTAATAATATATTACTATATATTTTATTTTATAATGAAATCATTTCATCAACTTCTACTACTATTTCGAATATCTTAAAAGCTTCGTATGCTTATGTTTCAGTTTTTATTAAATCTGTCAAGTAAGCCAGTATGTGCTTAATTTATTTAAGAAATATTTCTTTACCAAATAAAAATTTAAATGAATAAAGTTTGAATATAACGCAATCAATCCAATTTTGGTTCGTGTGCCTGACCTTGCACACAAATTGTCATGTTAAGATTTTTCGGTACGAAAGACTGAAATTTGTAACAAATCCGCAAAAAGCAACAAAGTAACCGGTTTTTTTGAATTTTTATAGATTCATTTTCGGTTTTGCTTTAATATCGTTAGACAAATACGGGTGTTCAATACGAAACTGATGTTTGCATTCTGCACTCAATTGCGATGCTTCTCTTCATTTTGGGCTCATGATTTTTATGTTTTGGTGTGAATTCAGTTCGAAAAAAGTTTGAATGAGAAGCGAAAAATTTTATGTGGTCAATCAACTCAAATGTGGTCAAATGGAATAAACTTTGAATCAAATTATTTTCATGGCTTCTTCAGCTAATAAAGTAATAATATAAATTCATTACAGTAATTTCAATAACTCTCACTTAATTCCTAGTAAGTTAGTTAGTTGTGATGGAGGGAGGACCAAGTCCTCCTCAATTAGCTAAAAAAGCCACTTTGAGTCCACGAATTCTTGTAATAATAGGTAGTAAAGAGAAGATCAAGCTAGAAATCAGCGAGAGGCATTTATAAAGGCAAGAATCTAACCAATGCTAATACTAGAGACATCACCGAGTGTGTTGAAGAAGGGGGCCCCCAGAAACTTAATTTCTAATGTATGAAAATTATATAAAACAAACTTAATAAGAATGCTAACCCAAAATACATACTATTTAAAACTGCTTACACTTAAAAATAAAATCAGTAATTCTAGTTATTTCCTTGACATTTTGGTAAGCCACAAGATTTAAATGATAGCTGAGATAAGCCTCAAGCATGAAAATAAATAATACAGGGCAATTAGTATGTTATATTATTTGATTTCCAATGCTTTTACTTTTACTACATTTAAAACATTTACTTCAGTATTTTAACTATATTTGTAATCTAATTAAAAAGTTGCAGTTGAAATAGTAGTTCATGGTATTGCGGAGTGTTTATAACTAAAGTTTTGAAATAAACTGGTCGTCAATATTTCTAACCAATATTATTAATAATTACATATAATTCGTAAAAAGCATAAGATATAACATTGAAAATGTTTATACTAGGGTTTCCTACAGAATTTTTTAGCTGAACGTTGCTGGATTTTTTAATATTCCTATTAGTGTTGCTACTGTTATTATTATTAGCTCTTATTACGTTATACCTCTATTTAATGTTTTATTGTATTTGAACAACTAAAACTCGATTTATTGATCAAATATATATATGGCTTTTATATGTATATTGTATATAATATATATTGACCTTAATATAGGTTCTCTTGAGAATATCTATTTATAATTGCATTTGTAATTACAATGGATTTTAAAAAAAACACTGAGCTATTCTGCGTCCTTGATAACGTATCAGCGATTACAAATAGGTAACGCGATATTTAAGATGCTGTTCAGATTAAAAGTAGAAGCAGAGAAACATTTTCTTATCAAAACCAAAAGTGAACGCATCAACGTTCGCCTTTTGGTTCGTCCAGATTCGTTCAGATTCGATTAACATAATTTGAATTTGGCTTCATTGCTTCGGCCTTCACACATTTTTGTTGTTACTCGGATTTTTATTTTTTCTTTACATTTTCTTTTCGTTTTAATATTTTACGAATTTGTTTTGTACGAGTTTGTTTGTTTTTTAATCGTTGCATTGTACAAAATTAATGACGGTAAGTCAGTATTGTACTCTTGTTGCGTTTTTAGGTTAAAGAAATATTGCTCATACTCTTGGGTTGTTGTCATTTTAGATAATTTTTGTTTTTGGAACCCCGGCTTTTTACATTAAAACACAACGAAATTTGAGTAGACCAGCTGAGCCATAATGTTTATTGCTTTGCGTATTTTATTGGCAATATTATTACATCATAATAAACAATAGCTATTGCCGCTGTGGTTGTGATTGTGGCTACGCTAGTGATTACAAAAAATTTGCTGTTTTCGTTTTATTGTGGTAGTACAGTATGCTTCACACTCAAAATGAGTTTTTCTTTCAAAAGCTGAAAACTGGTTTTCGCAAGTGAGTTTGAGCTTTTATGTTGCCACAAGAGTTCATTTTTCTTGTAATGTTGGTTGATGCTGCTGTTCTGGTTGCTGCTGTAATTGACTAACTTGCGAGTATATGCAATTTGAGATTTATTATTTAATTTCGTTGTGCTTTAAAAAAAGTATATAACAAACTAAAGTAGGTATATAACAAACATATACTCAATTTCATATGAAAAATATTATTAATTACTTAATACTTCATTATGAAGTCCTAATAGAAACTACTGTAATATTTTTATGACTTGTAGCAGCAAATTCGAACTGTCTTTTATTCAAAAATTAAATTGATTGTGAAGGTTAAAACGGATCTGTTTATTGTTAAAAAAAAGTTATTTGCTCACTATTAACTAAAGGGCAATTAGCGAATTTAACACACCTTCCCCTAAACTCAAATAAAAATTTTATACTTTTACGGCATGAGTAGAGAGCAGAACACATTTGGCCTTTTGCGAATAAATCTGTTAAAGAATGTATAATACATTTCTACGCCATTAGTACTCACTACAAATAATTAAGTAAATAAATTGTCATAAATTTTTTATATATTTAATTTTTAAAACTGTTAAAGCACTTTTAACATTTTAAATGGAGAATTATTACAATTATGCTACCTAAAACAGCAAATAAAACATGTAGAGAAATTAGAAGTGGTTTTTCCTAACCCCTTAAATACTTTTAACACTTGCTTAGTAAAACTTTACTTATAAGACTTTTCGAAATTTTGACCATAAGTCTAAATATCTAAGTTAAAATTAAATCCAATCGATAACATTCTAGCAATGATATTTGGTTGAACTCTTAAAGGACCAAAGCCTCCATGGCAAAGCGGCATGGCATTTTAACTTACTTGGTCATGTGCCCCGTATATGGCGGTATGACAAAATAATAATATTTTATTATTTTTATTATTGTTATTGTTGTTAAGTCACAATGTTATCCTATTACCATAATTATATACCAATAAATTTCCACTAAAACAAAAATTTTTTCTTTACTATACTTGATTTAAGAACGTTTTGTATTTCTTTTCGTATAAAGATTAGTTTGGACCTGATAAGAGGAAAGCTTGAAATACTTCCGAATCGTTAAGGAGTAATGTTATTCAGATAAATAGAAACGTTGGCACCTCGTGCCATGTCAAACGGGTTCTGAGGCGCTAAAAAATGAGCCCGTTGTGCAATTACAAAGTATATTAAGAATGTTTCCGGTCAAAGCAAAACTGTGTAAATGTGAAAGATGCTCTTTTTGTACAAGAAACCTAAAGTATTGTAAAAAGAATCTATCCCATTTTTAGTATTACAAAATGAGAAGTTTTAGTGATTGTACTTTTTTTTAATTTATATTTATTATTAATATTTATTGTCCTATTCCCCATAGTATTAATATTTCATTTTTCGCCTCCTCTAATTCAATCAATTCAACTGCATTTTAAATGATTTTAGTAATTTGTTGAAAATAATAACGAAAAATACTTGAATGCGAGTAAATGACCTCGAATTACGAAATCACACATTTTTGAGGCAAACAAGAAGGTCGGTAGTACAATTTACGTGATTGGAAAAAATTCTTTATTTGTCTAAATTATTTTTATAATCAATTTTACTAATCGATGGGGCAATACTTGCAGCGTATGGTCTCGAGTGTACAAGATTTGCATAATTAATTCAAATGTGAATACGCGTTAGCTTCATAAACCCGAAAAATATGTCTCAACCAACGCAAGAAGAGATAAAAAAGCTCGAAACCTTTAACATTCAAGTAGAGCTTACAAGCATTACGAGAAAACCTTTTAACCTTAAACTTCAAAACTTCAACAGCCAAGCAAATTTCAAATTAACATATTTTTATAAATAGAACAATTTAAGACGCGTACTTGATTCTAATGTAAATTGATAAGTGAACACCTCGGAATTGTGTATTTGTATAAATACTCATACGGATGTCGCTGGTGGGGAACCCTTAAGTTTAATCGTTTCTAAATGATTTATGAAAACAACTCACGTTCAGGGTTGCAACAAATGTGCAAATAATAGGAAATCAAATAAAAACAACAAGCCGTTTTAAATGCTTGTGTACTTTTTTATGCAATTTACTAAATATTAAATAATTTATTTAAACAAAAATTTAAATACAATATCGACAACAACAAACAACATCGACGAGCAACAATAACAGCAGTGACAATAACAACAGTTAAATAATGAGCAATGAAGTAGTGAATTCCGCATATGGGCACTTAACTGCTTCTATAAGTCGCTCTGAAGTGCGCTGACAGCTCTTAGAGCCACAAATGCAAGTGAGTTTCGAAGTTGCTTTCCAGGTCAGTTTCGAGTGCTAATGGAATTACAAAATTCCAATCCCCACTTAAAAGTTTCATGACAAAGTCAAAGGGTTTCTTAACAATTTCCTAAAAAACGTTGCTTTCGTCTTTTTTATAGAGTTTTGCCTTTTTCGGCTGAGTCACTCGAACCTAATTAACAACATCGTAATTCGGCGATTCGGTGAAATTAATTTTAATTTTCGTTGGCAAAATACATTAAATCGACATTTGGCTTACAAGTCTTGATATTTAGCATCCGAGTGTGACACGTGGATGGATAGACAGGCAGACAAGTAGTCAGATAGACAGATAGACAGATAGAGTGGCTGACAGAAGTGAGTCTGAACTTGGATATTGGCCTATGTTATTGTGTGGATACTTGAACCTAGAGATAGAAAGACGCAGTATTCGTGACTGTTGGAAACTGTAAAAGTCAAGCCACGTTTCGAAAAACGAAAATAATCAAATTGAATGAATTGCGAAATAATTCATGTTGTTTATATTTTGTTTATTATTTTTAATATGTAATAAAGTTTTGAAATATTGAAATTAAAACCAATTCACAATAATTAAATTTATATGCTTTGTAATAAATGTTTACAAATTTTTTGCCAAAAATATTTTTTGGCAAAAATATTCGAAATGTTTGACAAAATAAAAATTTCAAAATAATTTGTTAATTACATTTTAAACTTGTATACTTTGGTATATAATATTTTACTTTACTTTGTGTATTTAAGTTTTCTAACTTAAAACAACTTTACTTCGTCATTCAGATATGTTAATTGTTTAAGCAAACCAAAATGCGGTCAGTTAAACAACATTTTTCGCCTTAGAACGAATTTGTGTAATTCATATAAATAATAATATAAAATTACTGAGATATCTGAAATAATTCATATTAAATGAGAACAACCAAGTTTTTAGTTAGCAGTAATGCGTCCATTTTCTCCAAAAAACTATTCACACAAATAATTTCAATATGAGTCTTAACACAATATGAGAAGTTATTTTCAATAACTTCTCAATTGTCTTAATATACTATTTACAACTATTTATTATTATTGAAAAGAAGGAATCGTGCACTGCGACCGAAAAGATCTATTGTACGCCTTAGTTGGATTAAAGTGTTTCTCCAAGTCCGATTTTTTTAATGAAAGACAGTATAAAGTCAAGGAATGATCCTAGTCTTGGATCCTTATGATCCATGAAATACCCTCCTACGTGTTTCTTCCGCTTGTACATCAGTACCGGGCACTCCTCAATCACAATGATCTGAAAAAATCATGCTAAAAGTAAGAAAACTAATAGCAATTGGATACATTACCTAAACCCCAAAATGTCAATAATCCGAATCATAAGCCAAAATTTTTCATATGTAAATTTGAGACGTGGTCACATTCACTTTAAAAACAATTAATAGTTGTTTTTTAATTACACTAAAATGAAAATAATTATTTAGCTAAGCTCTGAAAGCTGCAACTAACTCTGCTGTCATTAAAATATAAAACAATTAATCGAATTAAACAAAAATATGCAAACACTGAAAGGAAACGTCGTCATAATTCTCGGTTTTACTTCGGTTGAAGTTAGCAATACGCTAAATATTGGCGGTTGTAGATTTCATTTAACCTTGTGTCAATAAAATTTTAGCAATCGTAAAAATTCTGTGATTTATGAGTAACTTATAAAATTTTAAAAATTAATTAATAATTTTTCGTTGCGCGAATATCGCAAAATAATAATTACCGCAAAGACATAATTAATATCAAAGGATGATATAATGACTTGTATTACACAAATTGAGAATTCAAATATCTTTTCTATTATAATATAGAAATTTAATCGTAACTTGCATGTACTTAAAAATGCTGTGCACTGAACATACATATAAATCAAGCAAAAACCTAATAGTTTTCAATTTATAATTAATTTTTATAAGCAAACGATATATATTATTATTATATTTTTGTATTACGAGTATTTGGTTTTGAAATATTCGGCGAAAATATATATCCGTATTTGCATCAAATTTTTTAAGTAATTTGTATTATTAGGGCATTTTCATTATTTCAACTATTTCATGCAAAATAATTAACCAAATAATTCAAACTGTTCACCTATTTGCTCATATTCCAACACTCGAACTATTAGATGAATTTGAAATATCCAAATATGAACAGCATTATTTAATGCAATAGTTAAATTGAGATAAATTGAGAATATTCTACTACGCACTACATTTATCCTTTCCTTTGCTTAATAATTATAAATAATACTTCAGTGTATAAAAATATCTGAAACTGTTCTTCACTTTTGTTGTTAGTAAGTCCTGTTTCTAAATTTTGCTTTTTATTTACTACCACCTTCTCGTCTTATGCGCTGCAAACTATCATAATATCTGTCTCTAAATATCATAAACTAATAAATATTTTATATATATTTTTATGTTCATCAATCCCACTTAACATAAATATATATTATTTTTTTGTGATTTGCATTATTTGCATTATTTATTTGAGGTTACAACTTCTTTAAATAATTTGGATGGGTCCTATATAGCTAATAAAAGCATATTCATAGAGTACATATCTTTCAATAAAAGTATATATAAATATATCAAATACGAATTATATAACAAAAAAGCTATTCAGAATCATTAATTGAAATTTTTCGAACAGGAATGGGACAAGGATATATACCTTATCTTCACTCGATCAGCTTGAAATAAGTTTATTTAATCATTTACGAGATTTAGATTTAACTTATGATGTTGTTTTATTGAACTGCAGGCACAGTGATGTCATGACCTGCTTTGTGAATGCAAATTGTAAATGGCAGTTTTCTGAGAAATCTGAGCTTGCATATCTAGATAACTGCAGCACATAATCACAGCACATAAATCGGTGAAGTGTTATTTTGCTACAGTTGGAAAAATACTCTGCACGGGTAAGAAAGTTTGAGTTTTATGTAGAATTTTATTACTAATCGAAATCAATAATATTATATTAGAATATTTGTAGCATATTCTTTGAAAATCATTCAATGGATATGTAGTACGCATGTGCTTGATGTGTTTTGTGGGAGAAAAAAAATATTAAAAAATTTCAAAAAAAAATAATATCTCGAAAATTTTTATTTTGTAGTAGAATTTAAAATTGAATCTAAATAAAACATAAAAAATAAAAGTTTAGCGAATAGTTTTGAGAAAATTTTTTTTTTGAAATTTAACGGTTACTATTAGTACTTAAATATAAACAATTTTATTTGTTTAAACAATTTCATAAAAGTACAATCAATTATCTTTGAAACGCTGTAAATTTCAAGTATCTATCTTTTATAGAACTTGAGATATACCCATTTAAAAATGTGTCTACAATGCCAATTCTCAAAACCCCATGGGTCCATATCTCCTAGGAAAAAAATCACAAAGAGTAAAACGTATATGGTGTGAACCAAATGCTCCTTAGAAAGGAAAAGTGAAACTGACTAAGATATGGCAGAAGATCTTAGGAAGCCACAAATCGATTTTGGTTAAATGAAACATAAAATAAGAAATATATAAAGAAAATTGAAAATAATTTCTACATAATCATAAGCAATTGCTTGTGGATACCCTATGATTTAGGTAGTTCGAGAGCATTTTCAACATAGAGTTTTTAATACTGACAAGCCAAAAAATCGCTAGATATGAAATAACAACGCATAAACAACAACGCACACTGAAACAATCCCAACAAGTATATTGAAAATCAAACCCTAAACTACTAACTACATTATACTTCATGTCCTAGTCATTCATGATTACATATTGTTTTTTAAGAACTGTGAAAAACGAAGAGTAAAAAACATTAGTTGTTCAACGATATAATCAGGTAACCATCCAATAGAGTCAGATTTAAACTAATTGTAATTGCTCCTCGACGGAAGTCCAACAATAAGAAAAATCAGAAGAAGTAGCTTTTATTTATTGGTTTAATTGGTTAATATTGGTTTTAAATTAGTATTATTGTTTCAAACATTAGTACCTGTTTTTTTCTTTATTTTTAAGCAATTTTGTAGATGAACTATAAAATAGAAAATAAATTTTTAACGAACTCCCTTTAGAAATTGAAATCATTAAGTAAACCACTACTTTAAATAAATCTAGCAATTACTTATATATATTTTATATTTTCCTTCCACTGAAAACAATGGGAATAATATCGTTTTATACAACCAATTGAAGTAAAGTTGCTCATACGCTATGTACAGTGAGCGGAAAAACACTTATTTGAAATTTCATAATTTCGTTGTTTCAATTACGAGAGAAAATCGAATTTAAAAGTTAACAAAGTCAATTTTGCTACTGTTGCAACATTTTTCGTTTGTAATATCGAATAATAAAGCTAATGAAGAGTTCGGCGAATATAAAGAGACGCAGAGGACTGCAGAGGAACACAGAGGAACGCAACGTATGTAACGAAGAGACCCATTTTCGTTGCTTCGCTTATGAAATTGTGAATTTGAAACGCTTGCAACCCGTCATGACTAGCTGACTTAATTAATTGCATGTAAGCCTTAAGTTCGTCCACTGAGACGGTATGGCGTTGTGACGTTGTTGTGACTTTTTGACGTTTGACGGTTTGAACACTCGGTAGTATCGTTCCACATGTGAGCAATGAGCAATGCAAACAGCTTACTTTGTGGCTGAATCTTCTTCCTCTTTTCGCTTATCGCTTAACCGTATTATTTGCAAGAAATATGGAGCAGTTGTTGTACTTTTAAGTACAATTAGCGAAGTGAACTCAAAATTGTACACAGCAAAAGTCGTATTTGAAAGCAGCATTGAGCGCACTTGAATTTTAAATTGTATTGGGATTTTCCGTTTCTTTAGCATTTCTTGTTTTGAGTCATTTTTATTTTTTTTTCTCTTTCCTGATTTGTAAATTAACAAAACCCAAAGAAAAGTGAAAGCGAAAGTAAAGATTTTCCGCCAAACCATGTGCAAACTTTAATTGAAATTGTGTTTCGAGTTATGATTGTATTCGAAAAATATTAATATTAAATGTACTTTGAATAAATCCAAGTACCCAACTATAACATATTTCGAATTTGCAGTTTATTTATAATGTATTATTAAAATTTGCGGTTATCATTAACATTTATTTACATACTGCATATTAAAAATTATTAAATCAATGTAGAACTAAACAAATCACTTTTAAATATTTTCTTTTGAATTTATTCAAAATAGTAATTAAGAATTAAGAATTTAAGAATTAAATATTTACTTTTTTTAATAATTTTTAAAAATCACAATTTTATTAATGTAGTAATGTTATTAATGTAATTTATATATATTTTTCTGAATCTACACAGAGTATTCAAACACGTTTATGTTTTAATTTAGGCGCAACAAAATCTTCGTTGTTAATTTGAAGGCGTCCCGTGCCAAACTAAAAATTTTTCGTCAAACTAAAATTTATTTAACAAAAATTGTACAACGCAAACCCAATTTAACCAAAAACTGAAAACTTAAAAGACAAACTTGATAGCTCAAATCTGAGTCAAAGCTAATGTGGGTTTACAGAGGTTTCTATTTCGATGTCACTCAAAACAACTGAGTGTATGTATTTTACAAACATTAATAATGAGCACAATTTTAATACTCAATGATTTAATCCAATCTAAAACTAGTACTCAAGACAAAAGAAGTCTAAAAGAAATGAGCTTAAAATAAAAGCTCTATTTATGCTGTTTCATTATGAACTACTCAAATAAATATTAATGGTTCTGCTACTAAGTTTATTATATAAGCAACGCAAGAATAAGGACAATAAAATTGTTATAATTTTCAGCGTTCAAAAAGTTATTGAGTAAAAACTACTTGAATGCTAGCCTATGCTAGACTTTACAGAGAAAATTTTGTTTCTTTATTATCTTTCACATTTCATTGGTAAAAAACGATAGATATTTATTATTTTACCTTATTTTTACATATTTCAGCATCAAGTATTATGTTAAGAATGCATAGGCAATGTTATAATTAATCTTATAATTAATCTTTCTTTGTTTCTTTATTTGGCCATAACAATCCGTTACCAAGCTTCGGTCTGGCGCAGCATATCTCCCCATGCGTCTCTGCTGCGTGCGCGCCTTCTTCAGTCTCGTACATCAAGTCCAGTTAATGCTCTGTCGAATTGATCACTCCACCGGAGACACGGTCTACCTCTACGTCTTCTTCAGCTAACTACTGCTTCAAACACCTTTTTCGCTGGAGCATCTTCATCCATTCTCACGACATGACCAAGCCAGCGAAGCCGCTGGATGTTAATTCGGTGAATTATATCAATATCGTGATAAAGCTCGTAAAGCTCGTGGTTCATTCGAATGCGGTAGTCGTCGACAACTCGTAGCGGACCAAGGATCTTACAAAGAACTTTTCTCTTATAAATAAACAATATAATTATTCAGTTTAATTTTAATAACTAAATAACTAAAAACTACTAAAAAAAATTAAATAAAAACTTTATCCAAGCTTAGTTTACCAGAACTGTTTGTGCAGTCTATCAACTACACTAGAAGACTAATTAAATTAAGTAAAAATGAATATTTTATTAACCTTGTCATTGGACATTGCCAGATAGGTAGAATCCGAACTAACATTTTTGGAAAATTTTATTTCGGGAGTCCCAAAGAACTGTCAAAAATTAACATCGAAGGCTTCAAAAAACAGCTCTCAATAAAAAATTAGTTGGGTGAAATGTTGTTGGTAATCATTAAATCAGGAATTCATTCAAATTTTCTTCAAAGAATACTAAACCACTAGAATGATAAAGGCCCTAGGAAAACTTGATAGATCCATAATCGGTCTAAATGGACTTTATCGCTCGCAGATTTTCCCTTATACCTAGTCGAACCAAATTGAATTAAAACTTAACTCTAAGTCTATTTGCTTTATTTGTAGATATGATTGCAGCTCAAAGGTTTCTTACATTTATAGTATGCATTTGTATAGGCTTAGTTAAACAAATATGTATAGGCTTAGAAATTAAAATATGAAGCTCTAATTCTTAATATTAAATAATTCACCAATAAATTCCTCTCTGAGGTAGAACGCTAAAAAACTTCAACACGTTGGCGAGATTCGATTCAAAAATATTAAGAATTATAATTTCATGTTTTAATTCCTTTACATATGTATATAATGATTAATCAGATTCTTATATGAGTAGTAATACTATTAACTTAGTAAAGTGACATAATTTTGTGTACAGTAATCCCCCCTATAACGGAGTAGATTGGATCCGCGTTATAGGAAAACTTGTTATAGGAGTATTCGCGTATACCCCATATACAGACGTGTTAAGGTACGCGAAGCTAATTATAGGGTCTTCGGGATCTATAGGGGGGATTACCGTATTTGTTTTTATGAAATTACAACACATGAAAGTTTCGTCGGAAGTCAGTAAATATCTGTGTGGGTAGTTCCCGCATATTTCGAATAAAAAATTTTAACTTTCAAAGGTGTAATCTGTGATAATATGAAATATGTATTACACACTTTTATACTTTCGATACCATCAAATCACTTATATTTACGCTTGAGTCGCGAAAATAAGTGTCTGTATATAAAATTTTTTTACTCCAAGTCTAATAGAGCATAAAATATTTTAAATTTAATTGCAAAATTGTGTTAGAAGCAATTAAACTGATACCATATATTTTTGTTTAATTACATATAATAATAAATAAAATTTAATATAATCAAATCCCTTGTTTTGTATCATACTAAGTTTTTTTTTTAAAATAATGAACTTACTAATACAGCACAAGTAATACTATTTTAAGTACTTTGGGGAATAAATCCAAATTTTCGATATAAAAACAAATATTCGAAAGCTGTTTCTATTTCATATAGTAAAAATCTCTATTTCCCTTTCTTCCGTTTCTTCCCTGGCCAATATCAAAATAATACGGAGCGATTTTGCCATAAGCCACGTTCATGGCTAAATAAACACAAAAGCTATCAGAAAAGCAAATCAATTGTGCAAGTACTCATATGCAATGGTCAAGAGCAGCTTGCCGCCAAGCTGATCAGTTTCCAGCTTAGCAATCCGACGCACGAGTAAGTGCAGCAAGCCAATCCGCTCACATGAAACTGAGTTGGTAACGTCAGCTCCATATTTTCGCTGTTGCCTTAGTTGTTTTGGTATCTAAAGAGACCTTTTCAGCGGTCACTAGTCTCTGCGAAAGGTAAACTACAGTTTCATGTATAACGAATTATTTTTCTTTTATTTTATCATTTATTTATTTTTTTTCTTGATTTGAATTTTATGGCTAAATTATTTTGGTTTAAATATTATTGCACAGCTTTATTATTACGTTTTTATTCAAGCGTTAAAATACATGATTTTGCGGCAATTGTGGATAATAATTGTAAACTTATATTTCGACACATGACACAAATAGATTCTCTACATCATTAACTATTTGTGATACTTTAATAATGTTTCATTATTAATTGCTGTTAAATTGAATTCAAATTAATTACAAAGAAAACCTACTATATTCAATTATATAAAAACTATACATAAATATACAATAAAATAAACAAAAGTCATAATACCAGCTAACAACACTATGAGAAAATTAAAAAGTGTGAGCTTGCACTAGCAAAAAGTCAAAAAAGATAAGCTTTATATAATATATGTCCTAAACTATCTTATAAAAGCGTCCAGCGAAACGATTCAAAATATCATGCGCTTTATTTAAACTCCCAAATAGTTCCATAAGTAAAAACAGTTAAGGTTTCGTTTTATGCATTGGTTTCACAATACGACGCAGGGTTCAAGTGAGTTGATCAACTAACCTAACCATACATAAAATAGAATAGTAAAATAGAAATGAAATAGTTTCACAAAAAAGTCTCAGTTCACAAAAAATCTTTTAACTATAACGTTTCAACGGATATAGGTATTGATTGCATACTTAAGTAGTCCCACATAACATTAGCATTGGAACTTCATTACGTATATTATACTTAACCTTATCCAAAATATTCATCATTCATTCCTCATTCCAAACCACCAATATGATAAAGATAGTGGGTACTATTTCTGCTGTGTTACTACAAGTAACGGTAACCAAACACTGGTTACGTCCATAACGATATCATCAAAGGTAAATCTCAAAGTTATAAAAATAATCCCTTGAGTAATCAAAAATTTTTATATATTTAAACAATTAAAAAAATTTACATTGAGGTCATACACTGATTCTAATATATAGTGTTGCAATTTTACTTTATGTTCTATCAAATTCTTAGAATTCTATGCCAAATGGCCAATATTTGTGATCCTTTGCTATATTGCAGAACCAAATTCGTTCCCCTGTATGAAATTTATCCATCACGTCGATTTCGGCTTGTGTTAATTCAAAATCGAATATATCAAGATTTTCAGCTAATCTTTCAACATTGCATGACTTAGGTATGGGTACCGTACCAATATCAACCTATAACAGAGGACGATTGAATAAATTATTATTCATAATATGGTAGTTTTTAAAAGGTTTTACCAAATATCTAAGCACAATTTGAGCTACAGTTTTATTGTATTTCTGAGCAATTAACTGGACTTTAACAGATTTGTAATAAATAGGCAGGGGTTTCGTAGGTTTAGGTCGTCCGAGTGGTGAGTAAGCAGTTACGATAATATCATTTTGATGACAGAAATTAATTAATTTCCTCTGATTTAGTAACGGATGACATTCAACCTTCCAACCAAAATAAAATGATTTTTAATTGTACGAGGTTTTGTATTTGTAAATAAAATATAATACCTGATTTGTCACTGGTTTTATACTGCAGTTTTCGAGTATCCTTTGTATTTGAACTGAATTAAAATTTGACAAGCCAATGCTCCGCACCCAACCAAGCTCCACCAGTTCTTCCATTGCTTTGTACGTATCCAAATAATCAATATCACTGCAAGAAAATTAAAGTCTTTTTCATTAAAAAAAAAACATTATTTTGTTGAAGTTTATTGTCCATGTACGAACCTCATTTGTAACAAATCATTCTTATATGGTATCACGTCACTATCGGTTATGTACTTATACGATATAGGATAATGCATTAGGTACAAATCAATATAGCTAACTTTCAACTGTTCCATTTGCTTGCTGCATATATATTTAACTTTGTCTATTTCATGAAAGGTATTCCAAAGCTATAGCAAAATCATATTTTTTTAGATTAAACAATGATCTGTATACTCTGTATACTTACTTTGGTAACTAAAAATATATCCTCCCGTTTCACAACGCCTTCTCTGAATTTTTGTTGCAGAACCTTTCCAATATTGGACTCATTTAAATATAGTAAGGCGGTATCTATGTGACGATAACCCATATCTATAGCTTGGCTTACTGCATTTTCACATTTGGCTTTATTCATCTGTATTATAAAAAAATTCTTAATTTGATAACTGAAGATGGTGTAGCCATACATCCGTAATGAACAATCAACTTTAAAATCAAAATCGTTTTTGTTCATTTTTTTGTTTTTTTTTTTTACAAAAATCGAATTTACACCATGTAAATTAGAAACTTAGAAACTGACTCTGAATATGCATATAGTTTTTTACTGCCGACAAAATAAAATATATCTGTTTGATACCATGCATCTGTGCTTTTGTTGTTAAACGTTAATTTATAAGAGCAAAATAATGTATTTGTTTTTTCATTTTATTGATTGTGTACACCAATCAATAACTTCATTAAAATTTTCTGCAAGTATTATTCGAGAATCATAAGCTATGTTTGAAAGTTTTGCATGCAAAACTATGACTTTATTATAATAATACAGGAAAGACCGTAATATTACGGTCTTAAAATAATATCTAAGTAGGGTCTTTAAAAAAAATTTACGTTAATGTTAATAACATTCCCTATCATACGAAATTGTGTTAAAAAAGCTTGCTGAGAGCGAAAAGCCAAAAACATAGAAATATTTCTATTTCTATTTTACCAAAACAGTTTTGCAACTATTCGTAAGTGCTCTCACCATTGTTACTTTTTTTGACAGCACACATTTCGCAGCAATTGTCGAAATAATTTTTTGTTTGAAAACAATATTATATATCCTAATATATATACATATGTATATATACTTTAATTTAAGTTTTCTATTATATTTAAATTACCAAAAGTTGTTTTCTATTTACCCCAAATGTGCCTAATCCCATTAGAGGCATTAAAAAGCCGCTACTCAATTTAACACATGGCGGAAATTTACTTGTTGTTTCACTCATATTAAGTAGATCCCGAAGACTAAACACATTTAAATTTAACTTTCACATAAAATTTCATAAATGAAACAAGCAAAATCACCAAATATAAATTAACACTGTAAAATTTAGTTTTTAACACCAAAAAAAATGTCTACAAAAGCACATCACAAATATGTGTAAAGCAAATGAATCGCACCAATTTTATTATGTTAACAGTTTAATAATTTCAATGCTATGTTAAATAATAACATTATCTGTTAATAATTTTGATTTAAATATACTTAAATTTTTATCTCCATGTAAATATTTTATTTGTAAAATTTTTTTTTGCAATATTTAAATGTAATTTTTGATGGATTCTATATATGTATACCACTGGATACCAAATACCACTAACGAACTAAAACGTTTTTATGATACACCAAATAAACAATTACGAATAATACAGCGAAAAGAATGAATAAATTCTATTCAATATTATTAAATTTAATGCAGAGATCTACATTAACCGTTTTGTCGCAACATTCACGTCACCATCTGGTTGTTCGGTTATTTCTGTAAGCAGCATTTTTTGATACAATATGTGACGCTTAGAAATCTCTAAAGTTCATTACTTTACCAGCCAGTGTGTTCCCGATCAGTCGCTTGCTGTCGCCAGTTGGTAGTACCGAGCTCTTCGATATCGTTGGTCACCTAGTCCTTCCATCGAAGAACAAATTAACCACCTTTCTAACCGGAACATTTTGTTTCATTCGCATGGCATGAATGAAATTAAGCGCATAATGCGCTTAATTATGTCAATGTCGCGATAAAGCTCGTACAGCTCATCGTTCCATCTAAGTCGATATTTGTTCTCAAGGTGTAAAGAACCACAGATCTTTCAAAGAATTTTTCTCTTGAATGCTCATAGCGCCTACTCATCACTGTTGGTAATTGTTCCATACAGTACCATACAGTACCATGCAGTACCATATGTACCATGCAGTAGGACAGGGATGATAAGAGACTCGTAGAGCGTGATTTTTGTTTGTCGAGAAAAGATTTTATTTCTCAATTATCTACTTCGCCCGAAGTAACATCCGTTGGCAAGAATGATTCTTTGTTGAATGTCTAAGATGATGTTATTTTTGGTGTTTTCACTGTTTCCCAAATACACAAAGTTTTTTACAACTTCGAACTTATAGTTATCAACAGTAACTTGGGTCCCAAGACGAACAGGAAATTTATTTGTTTACAGAAAGTACTTTGTTTTGTCGTCATTTACATCACAAAACCCATTTGTTTCGCTTGTTTTTCTAAGTTGAAAAAAATCGCACTATATGTCAACTTGGAGAGAACAGTGGCAAGCGTCGTACTGGTATTTACAAAGTTAAATGCAATCAGACACAATTCCTTCAATGCTGACTCCCTCACCCCCCTTACTATTATGTAATTATTTGATTTTTTTTTGTTTTTTTGATATAGCAATATTAAATAGCTAAGTTATACATTTTGTATTATTATTTTTATTAAGAGAATATTACCAATACTTAATTATAAATAGCCAAGAATTTTTAAAACAAATTCTCTTATTTTATGGAAACAAAAAACAAAACAAAACTTTAGTATTCAATACTGAAAGGATAGTATTTACTTTTCTTAGCGTGTTCCATTGGTATCAAACGTTCGCCTGTATTAAAGGAGTCCATTACTTCATGGTCCTCAGCAGTTAATTTAAAATCAAAAATATCATAGTTGCCAATAATACGTGTTTTAGTTACTGATTTTGGTAAGGGAACAGTACCGATTTCAACCTGAAAGTTATAAAAGTTTTAGATAGTATCGCAACAAATAATTAGCACATGTCCTACTAAATAACGTAGAGCAACTTGTGATGGTGTCTTCCCGTATCTTTCAGCAATTTTTTTAACTTTGTCATCAAAAAAGTATTTTGGTGTTTTCTGTTCAAGATCCGGCCTGGCTAATGGACAATAAGCGGTCACTACAATATCATATTGTTTACATAAAGCGATAAGTTTTTTTTGATTCAAAGCTGGATGGCATTCAATCTGTGGAGTATTTTTTTAATGTTTAATAATTAATGATGTCTGCGTTTATAAACATCTGTATTATTGCACCTGATTATGTATTGGTTTTATGTTACAATTTTCGAGCAAACGTTTCAATTGCACGGAATTGAAATTTGAAACTCCAATACTTTTTGTCAAGCCTAGCCCAACTAGTTTTTCCATTGCTTTCCATGTATCCAAATAATCAGTGTCACTGTAATTGAACAAAATATATTTGGTCATTTTGAAATTAATGTTTTCACGTACCTCAATTCCACCTCCCCCTTAGCATCAGTGGGCATCATCTCATTGTCACCACGATACACATACGCATACGGCCAGTGCATCAAGTACAAGTCAATGTAATCCAATCCAAAGTTTTCAAGCGACTTTCGGCAAGCACGCTCTACTTGCTCGGGCTCATGAAAATGACACCACAACTGAAATAGTTCAAAATAAAATTAGAAATTTCCACAACTTTTGCAATGAATTTTACGTTTATTACCTTTGTGACGATGAAAATATCCTCACGCTTGATGATACCTTCGGCAATTTTATCGCGTACTGCCTTGCCAACTTCATGTTCGTTTTCATAAAAGTAAGCGGTGTCGATGTGCCGGTAACCCGCATCAATTGCATCGCGCACTGCTATTTCGCAGTCTCCTCCCAAGGACTTGAAATAAAAAATAATAAAAAAAGGTCTAGAATTAACAAATCTTAAAATAAGTGAAGAATGTTTTGTTGATGTGTATAACATGTTGGTGGGTCATGTTGCAAAACAGAGGTTTCACCTCCGACTTGTTGTCACACGTCATCGCAAACTCAATAAAATTAACTTTACAATTTTCAGTAGTAAATTATATACATATGTATATTTTAATGTTATTTTAAATTACACGAAACAAATAACATCACTAACGTCACAAAAACACAAAAATGATTTTCATGTTTATCTGGTCTACCCTTGCTAATCTATTTACTCGTATGGCATTTGTAAAGATAAAGAATAACTACTCTTGATTGCTACTTTTGATTATGTATACTAAATGATAAAGATTGATTTAATCAAATAAAATATTTTTATTATTTTGGTTAAGAATACAAAAAACTTGTTGCTGTTAGTCAAGCAGAAAAATATGTTCTAATGGAAGGGTGAAAGCATTACTTGGTCGTAGAGCCAAACGACCAAGTACACCTCAATAACCTATCAATGTAAATAAATTTTATCAATTGCAAAGAATAACAACTTATATTTTAAGTATTACTTTCAGCCCATAAACATTTTATAATGTTGCTTTTTTTAGCATTAAAATTTAATATAATATCAAATAACAAATTTTAATTATGATGACGGCTTGTTCCTGAATCAAATATTACAACTTACCGCGTATGTTCCCAAGCCAATGGATTGCATTTTTGTTCCATTGTTATGGGTCACGTATGTGGCATTTATATTTGGCATATTTAATGATAATACTCGTGTCTATAATTACAAAAATAATATATATAATATATATAAGTCTATAGTAAACTTTCTAAGAATACTTCAGTATCAATAATCAACAAACACTCCCGGAGCTTCAAGTCAACTGACTGGAGAACTCAGTGCAATTATATATATTTTTTCTCAGAGCTTTGGCGAAAAGCTTACTTATTTTTTTCATTATCTGCGAACAGCTGATAGTATAGGGTGCAATTGCTATTTGATCTTTTAAACGAAGATAACTAATTTGGCATATATACAAAGAAATATTTTGTTCACATGTATATCACATGTATATCGCATGAAAATAGATAAGATACAGTATTTAAAAAATTAGATTCAAATATCTGATTATTTTAAATTCATGCAAAGCGATTGGATGAATTTCAGTTTATGAAATGCAAAAAATTTTTTACCTGAAGAAATTAATTAATGTTATTAACTTAGATTACTTTTATCTGTACATTTAACCCAATAACCCGATAAGAAAATTCATTCCAGAAAGTTAAAAATAATTATAATAATAATATCTTACATCATTTATATGGGAAATATATTAAAACTATATTATTTTTAATATTTATAACATTTTGCGAATAATATCTTTTTTTGTTTTTGTTTCTTCAAAGAAACATCTAATATTCGTTGCAAATATCTAGCGTATTCATTCTAAAGTGTTGATAACTATCATTGTGATTTAAAATCAATAAATGTTTTAAGTAATGTAATTTAATATTAATATTATTAAATTTTACTTTTTTTTTGCAATATGCTATATGCTATGAAAAAGCGTATTGGACTTCATATACAATATCATAAAAACAGATGAAAGCATTAGATGAAGTCAAGGTTTGAATTATCATAACTTTTAAGTCAGGCTCTACCACTATAGCTGTGGTAAATTCCAAATATCCTGGTATTTGTACTTGTTTGTAAAATGGTCGCCGTATTTTTAAGACACTGAAATTTGGGCACAAATGTATTCCGTCATATCTCCATCAAAACTGATTTTCACACACCAGAGGTAGAGATACCTAAACACCATTTGTGCTCAACAATGAACTCACTTTAAGATACCTGTCCTTTACAATTTTGTTTACAAAAGTGGATACAAATACAAATACTATACAATACATGAAGTATCATAACCTAACTGATTATACAATACACTACAACTATATTTATAACACAGATTAGATACATTTAGACTATGAGTTATAAATATAGCTACTGAACAGAGTTAAAACAGCTAAGCTGAGGCTTAGATAAAAATCATAACAATTATTGCAATTAAACCTTTTCAGCCTTTTAAACCCGTCAAACCAAGTTTAAAGTAGCCTTCTGAAAGTAACGACAGTCCAAAAGCCCAAAAAAGTTTTTATCACTCATATCATATTGACTTCAAACTCTACCGTTATCAGAGCAAAATTGAATTAAATTTTTGAATTTGTTAAAGTTTACAACTAAACATGACCAAGGTGAATATCGACGGACTAAGCCAAGGTACGACGTACACATTCAAACGTTTTATGAATCCTACAGCAATTGAACCGCTTATTACAGTTTCCCTTTAAGTCTCATTTTCACACCAGTTGCCCCTCGTAATTAACACCTAAGGAACATTAACAAATATTATCAGATTTTTCTTATTTATTAATACAAATTGTTTCATTATTCAAGAAAAGTCAGTATTTTTTTTACAAGTGAATTAGGACAACTTCAAGTGTTTCAAATGATATGCGTATTATCCTAGCAATCTACATTTTTGTGGATTTTTTTTAACTACATTTTAATAGAAAAAGTAAAAAAATGTATGGAACTATAAAAACTTACGCAGAAGAGAAATTTATATCGTCATTAAATAGTTCACACTACAAAGCATCAAAAAGTCGATTAGAAGGAATACCTGTTGATAAAACGAAGAAAGAGGCTTTTGTTAAAATATTCAACGAAAAATCAAAAAAAAGGCCCAAAAAAGGAAATGAAATGATTGGATATTAGAGAAGAAAGGTAACGGATAGAGCACTAAGAATTGATTGTGGAAGCATTGATTCAGAGTAATTAGCTAAGAAATCATTTGCGGAGTTATGTGTAAGAACCTCTGTTGGGATCGTCCGAGATTCTTCAAAACAGGGACGGAGAAGTGGGAGCTGCAATCAAATATAATCAGTTGTGACTTTCTTCTTGCTCTTACAGAGAAGTAACTTTAAAGGAGTTTAAAATTTATATACATAAATCTTTTTAAGAAATTTTATATACATATGATAAATAAACTTTTTAAATATTTTTATTTCTCGGTCTGTACCTGTATTATAAAACATATTAATTTGTTTTTTATTTACTTTCATTTAAAAGAAAACAACGTAAACTAGTTTAAACAGTTCTGACAGAAATTAGATAAGTTATGCTTTAAAATTTAAAAAAAAAGTATATTAAATTAGTTCTAAGCAAAATTAATATTTATTTTCTCATTGCAATTTCATTTTATTTCGTGTTTCAATGCTTCAAAATTAATAGTAATATCAATATAAATAATTATTTAGATTGTAAGAAACTCGTAATTGTCATATCCACTAAAGTTCAAGGTTGGTACTAGATATGGATGAATACATAGAGGAGCTTTGTGCTTTGTACTCCGTATCTAAACTGAAAATATTGCAAGATTTACTATTAATCAGCAATTCTGATAATTGTAATTTGAAGTTAACACCAAAGATTGAAGATTTTAGTAAGGATGTGAAAACGCGAATAATCACAGCAATTTACAAAATAATAAGCGAAGAAAAATTTACCAATAAGAAAATTTTTATTGTTTATGGAAACTACGAACCAATACGAGAAGCATTATTTGCCCGAGGTTGGATAGAGAAATTACCATCCCATCGTCAGTCCGATCTGCAAGCACAAGTACTTGAGTCAGTGATTACTCACGCAAATAAAGGCAATTTGTATGAATCTGTGGCATTATCAAAGGTTTTAGAAGAATACCCAGCAAATTTTATTTGGCAATATGAATGTATGCCGGATGTGAATAATGGTATTGTGCCTTATCGAAATCGAATACGTCATATAAACAATCAGAATTTTACTAGAAAAACTGGTTTACTTAATTGCTTCGAACAGAACCTATGGTATAAACAAGAAGGCTTGTCTAATATGATTTGTCCACGTGCATACCGCCTTAATGATGGCAATCCAGGGGAACTAACTGCATTTATTAATGATTATCGTCAGACACAATGCAGAAATCTTATTAAATTCCTTTGGGATAAACTGAAGAACCCAAAATTAGTATTTGATGAAAATAAAGGGACAGTACCAAAAAACATTCTTAAGCATGCTGTGAATTGTTTGCAAAACCAGGCGAAGAAAAAATTCTTGGATGACAACATTTCAGTTGGTGAAGACCCAATTTGGGTAAATTTCATTAAAATGTCGGACAACATTATTCACAAAAAGGCAAAATTAAAAATTACCTATGAGAAATTGTATGAGCTCACTGAAAATGGTATGCAATTCCTACATAAGATAACAAATAAACACAAAGACTACGACTGGGATGGCTTGTGCAATATATGGATCCTTAAACCAAGCTGTCAGTCCTGCGGCGCCGGGATTGTGGTTAGTAGGAGCTTGTATCAAATAGTTAAAACTACTCAACGTAATCCGAATAAATCATATATCATACAGAAGTATTTAGGTAAGTTATAAATAAATCTTCTATTAATAACATATTTGATATTCACAATTTTTCAGAGCATCCGTTGCTTATCCATGACACCAAATTCGACATTCGAGTTTATATGTTGTTAACAATAGATGAATGCTTCCTATCAATTTGGATATATAAAGATTGTTATTTGCGTTTTAGCTCAACGAAATATACCTTACAAAATTTGGAAGAGCAAGTGCATCTCACTAATCATTCAGTTCAAAAAAAGTATCCAATTAGTACAAAGAGAACTGCATTACTGCCAGAGAATAATATGTGGTCCTTAGCAGAGTTTCAGTCTTATTTGAAAAGCAACAACTTGGGCGATAAGTGGGTGAGCAAAATATATCCTGAAATGAAAGAAAACTTAACTGCACTTATAATGTCGGGCAGTCAACAAATGAAATATAAGAAAGGAAGCTTTCATTTGTACGGATGTGACTTTATGTTGAGCAATAACTTTGATACAATCTTTATTGAAATCAACAACAGTCCTGATCTTTCCTCTTCTACAACCACCACTAAAATCGTTTGTTCAAATGTTATGCAAGATCTCGTTCGAGTTGTTGTTGATTTACCAGAAGATGCACAAGCACCAACAGGTGATTTCGAATTGGTACATAAAATAAAGTATCAGCCTTACAACAAGAATCTTCGTCAGGGAATTGTTATAACAGGTGAAATTTTGCCATTAACTCCACTAAAATCAAAACCAAATCTTGACTTAAATATCAAACGAAAATGAAATTTGTGAAATAATATCATACAACATCCATTTCAATAGGAAAATATCTCAATAAAATTTTTAGTAAATCTGCTATGAGAAAACAACTGTTTAGTTAGTGAATTCACGGAAACCAGTCTTTTACTAGGCAAAGTATTTATTATTATCAGGCTTTATTTTTACTTTATTATTCAATTTGGTTTCCTTCCGAGTACCGCAATGCTGGAAGCATTCTGTATAGATTCAAAACACATTCAATATAAAGTTTTCAAAACTTCTATATTCGGCTGTAGCCTTTTGAATAAACCGATTGGTATAAAACCGCTTCTTATGTTTAAAAAAAACCACCAGACATAGTATGCAGCCAAATAAGGTGAATACGAGAGATGATAAATAGGAATGATTTTGTCATTTACTTGCAACGAAAACCAACTGCCCGGTCGATATTTTGATAAAATTCATCGAATTTTAACTCACAATCGTCCAAATGGTCCAGATAATATTCTAAGTTCATCATCTGATCTTTTCAAGGAAGTTTATTATGAGTGATTTCCATCAAATCGGAAGAGATTAGCAATATCCTGATTTTACTCTTCTGAAAATGTGATTTTCTTTTTTATTGATTTTATTCTTTCTTATTGCCCGTCGAAGTGTGTAGTTCCAAGTGCGCACAGACCTTCCATTTTTCCAAATCTTTTAACAAAGTTCAATAGATTGTGCTGTTTTTTTTTTTATATTTTCTTCATGAAGAATTAGCCGTAGCTACTCCTGTCCATATAATCGATATCGTATAATAAATATTACCGAATTTACTTAAATTTTGACACTAAAGAGATAATGCGTACATTATTCGTCTACCATCATTCTGTACTCTCACATTATATATATTTTTTGCCTTTGGTAGCGAATTACTGATATAATTTAGAATTTACGTTAGCTTTTGCTACATTTCGAATTAGATTAACAGCCATTATGTCCTTTGGAGAGCTTTTGCTACATTTCGAATTAGATTAAAGATTAATGATTGACTAAACCAACATGGATTTTTCTCCTTGTAGCTACTATCCTTTCACAGTACGACTTTGGATAACGACATACATATGTTTCTATTGCTTTTATGATTCATTTATGATTAGATTCTAAAAGGGTTGGGAACTTGTCACCACGTCACTGCATCCTTTGAAGATTTTTGTGATACACCTACTTTAGTTCCATAGACGAGTAGCAGTTAAGAACGCCATTATGTCCTTTGGAGAGATGTTGCCTAACTGCGTTATAAGTTGATAAGTACCGAAGTCTGAGTCTGGCGAGATTATCACAGTGAATGTGTTCTGGTGTTTCCTCTTCTTCATAACAAAGTTTGCAGCTATCCTATCTAGTAATAGATATCATTTATGATACTCTATGATACTGTTCTTGTTAAACTGAGTATAAGTAAAAGTACTTTTTATTGAAACTATTGCAAAAAAAAACGACTTTTTGTGTTATTATTTTTAAGTGATTCGAGTACTATACAAGTTTATTGTAATTAAATATTAAAATGTATTTTAGTCACAATTCGTTATGTAAATAATATGTTCTATGTGTAAAATATATTTTAATGAAATCATTGGAAAAAATATGATTTTATATTTCTATGATTTGCAATTTGCAAATTGCGACACCCATCAATTTCCACAGATTTACAATAAATCATCAAAATTGATTTCACTACTTGGACTAGCGCAACCGGTAAATTTATTTTTGCTGAATATTTTACAAGACGCAATTTACAATAAACGAAACAAAAAATGTCACTTAAAGAAACACACAACAGCACGTAGCATAACTGTTTCAAACGCTACACCAGGACATAAAATCCACTGGCGTCGTCACCAGTGCCAGGAACAGTAAAAGCAACTCCCACCAGGAACATTGGCTCCTACCTTCACTGAACAACTACCAGAAACTACCTACCTACATCTTCTGCAGTCAACGACAAAACACGAACTTCATTTCCTACACCAACAACAGCATCTCCAACATCTTCAACATCTCCAGCAGCATCAGCAGAGCGCAAGCAATTTTTTATTTTACCAATTCCTGCTCTAATATCGAGTTGATAGCTTTTAAATTTGATTCGAATTCTTATCACTGAAAACATATTTCTGTGTTCATACATAAAATATGAGCGACCGTACGCGCTAAGTAGTGCGGAGATGCACTAAACTAAGTTGGGCTGAACTCCACTAACCGTTGCCAAAAATATCGACTTGATATTGCGGCAAGCGAATAAATGCGGCGCTATTCTGCTGTAAATATCAGACATTTCAAACGCTTTACTCTGTACTCTGCACGTTGCATCTCAAGTATTGCTAATCGTTAAACAAGTGAAGTTCCAAGTTCCAACGAATTTAGGGTCATAATAGTGAAATATTTGAAATTGTATATACAAAATGCACTCATTTAGAAAAGTTTACCTTAAGTCACATAGAAGAAGAATTGCATTTTTATGAAAAATAAATGAAACTTACAATGCGATTGAATGTAGCGTTGGCGCATAGACCTTGTGTGTTTATATGGATCTCGTGACGAATGTCAGCAAAAAATTTTATCTGAAACTGCATCCGGCTGTGTTGCACAAAGCGTGTGACTCGGATATTTTATGTTGCATGTCTGACTGCCAGCCCTACCACCCAACCCGCATAACCATACTGCTATTGCTGATGTTAGCGTTGTAGTCGTTGCCATTCCTGTTGCCGTTGCTGTTGCTGTTGCTGTGATGCTGTATGCAACACATTTGCACTCGTGCAGTCTGCCAGTTTAAGTGTATTGCATTGTTGATTCCATAGTCGTTTTAGATGTTCGTGTTAGCTCGTAGAACGCGGTTGCTTCCAAATCGCTGTGGAAATAAAATCGAAACGAAAATTTCTTTATTAACTCGTATTAGTAATCAAAAAGTATATGTGCGAAATATAAAATAAAGATATGTAAATTAACTCATTTAAAGGTTTAATTTATTGGTTAACTGTTCAGCACGTATCTCAAGTGACTTTTAATTTCGTTACGTTTGAAACAGAATTTGTTTTTATTTATATAGTAGATGGTTTTAAACATTTTTTGAATAACAAAATCAGCAGCATTTTTATTTGAATTACATTTTTTTATAAAAAATCGGCGGGTGTTCTATTATCGCATAAATAAAAATAATAAATATACAAAACGAGATTAAAATCATAAGACTGCGATCAGGAATAAATAAAAGTTTTTATTTAAAATTGAAACTATAAATGAAATACAAAAACTGAAACAAAAAAACTTTTGCATTCAAAATTTTATCGTCAAAAAATAAAATTAAAGTTTGAACATTCAAAAATACGAAAAATATAATAAATAATAATGGCTTAACCGCCAGTACCCATCCGTGCTGGCTTCCTTAAAAAGATATCGTTTATCACAAATGAGAACGTAAACAACAAAAATTGTGTATGTTTAATGACCGACAGCATAGATTGTGCTACGCTATCAAACGTATATATCCCAGCATAAAGCTATATTATTTCTTACGAAACTCAAAGCTTAAAAGAAACTAAAGAATTTCATTTTAAGAGAAAAATCTTTAAGAAGGTTTTTTCCTCTTTCTAAGTACAATAGATCAGAGTCGACAGTATTTCCTCTGAATTTTCTTTACAGTTATTATTTTCAAGACAATGCATAGTTGTTTACAAAGGCAGAGACTCCTAATTAGCTGTCCGATTTTAAATTTGACAATGGATGTATTTTCACGTTTATACTGTCAATCTCTTGCTTTAAGCCAGATATCTTTTCCAAATCCCACTATTTGGTGAATGGCCGCAAAAAGAAGGAAGAAATTAATTTTTATTCATAATTTTCTATTGTATTAATGTAGTTTCAGAAGAAATTGAATTTAATAATCTATAACCTAAACCCTATAGATCTCTTCAAGCAAGTAATGCTTACTTAATAAGACCAAAATCAGTAAAACGCTAATAAAAAATAAAATCCCTTATTTATGTATATTTACATTTTTCATCTTCGATGTTTAGTTCTTAGTAAACACTATTCCTTTATTACTATCATTACTCCTGCTTTTGTTATTTTTAATATATATTACATATATTTTAAACACTTAATTGATAACACAAAATATAGATTCGCACTCGACGCATAAATTTTGGACTCAACACGTGCTCTGCTCTGACCTTGCAAAATATGTCCTAATAATGGGGATGTCGACTTTTTAATATTTGAGACAGCGTTACAGCTTAAATTTTCTCAAATATTGAACAAAATAACCACCTATCAGAGAATCAGATATGTCAATATCTCTAACTCAATTAGCTGGAATATGTATATAAATTTAACATTATAATATCTTTTTTAAAATTTTGTGTCATAACATTCTGAACAGATGCTTCATCTGTGATTTTAATCAAATACATTAATAGAAATTGGATCATGTTAAATAACATTATTGACCACGAACAGATGTATTAGGGCTTAAGTTAGAACATCGTTATTTATTGTTCAATTACTACAGATTTATTATTCAAGAAACTATACAAGAAACATTCCATAGGCGGAATGATCACTAAAGCCTCTATGTAGCGCAATCTGCAAGACATAAAGAGCGCGTTAAGGAAAAAAATAACGAAGAAAATATTAAAATGCCTGTCACATCTGAGTTCATAATTACAAACTAAATTTTAGAATAATATTATTTTGAAAAAGTGTATTCGAACAGTTGTCAAGCAAATTTCGCGCTCTATAGTTGTGTCGTTAGCGTATCTTTCGAATGTTCAGTTCAGTTGGCATTTTTTTACTTGGATTAATAATTAAAAGTTAAAATTTTGTGCTGTTTTTTGCGAATAGCATTTTTTTTTTAATTTGCTATTTCTTTCAGTTCTCTGATAAACTTCAATTACTATATAAACTAGTGAACTATGTGTACTACTTTTAATCACTTTTCGTCGCGTAGTTTGTAAGTTTGTGTAATTCCTATAATACGTGCTTGATTCACTGCAGCATAGCAAGGACATTCAAATCTTAAATAGCACGTTAGGTCGTATGAAATGCAGCGTATAGCACTTTTAATTGCAGTGTTGGTCGCCTGCTTGCTCTCAATTAAGACAGCTGCGGGCATAGGACTCTACTGTCCAACAGGATGTGTTTGCTTTCAACAATCAGTGCGTTGCATACGCGCGCGCTTTACTTCAGTTCCAAAGGTACCAACCGATAC